GTCTAGCAGTTTGAGTCTTTCTAGCTTGATTCACTTTAGTTAAATCCTAAGGAGACAATGTCACTGGAGATCTTTCCAATTGGGGCATATGGGCAGCCAGGGAAGCTTGGAATGGAAAGGCAACCAAAAAATATTGCACCATCATACACCATTTGCCATTTTCAAAAAGGAAGTTCAAAGCCACCAAGAGAAAATTGAAATAAATTCTCAAGTCCTTAAAGATGTTGAGAGCTCTGGAATTACTAAAATTACCAGAGGATTGGAAAAGAACTGATGTGGTTCTCATCTTCAAAAAAGTGGTGGGGGGGAAACAGACCCATGAAACTACAGACCAACCAGCCTAACATCAATACCTGGGATGATACTGGAAAAGAAAATCAAAAAACAGATCTGCGAACTTCTAGAAACAAAGTTATAACTAGAAACTAGCATGGGTTTGTTAAAAACAGATCATGCCAAACCAATCTTATTTCATTCTTTGATCAGGTGACTAAATTGATGGACCAGCGAAATGCTGCGGACGTGGTATACTTAGATATTCAACAAAGTAGACCATAACCTACTTCTTGGAAAGTTTTCAAAAAGTGGGATAGACAGCATCACCATCAGATGGATTTTTAATTGGCTGACAAACCGCACTCAAAGAGTAGTCCTTAATAGTACTACCTCTACATGGACGGAAGTAAGCAGTGGGGTACCACAAGGTTCTGTCCTAGGCCCAGTACTCTTCAACATCTTCATAAACGACCTAGATGAGGGAATAGAAGGTGAACTTATCAAATTTTCAGATGACACTAAGCTGGCAGAAATAGCCAACACCCTAAATGATAGGCTCAAGATCCAGAGGGATCTTGACAGACTTGAACACTGAGCCCTATCTAACAAAATGAAATTCAACATAGAGAAAAGTAAAGTCTTGCAGTTAGGCAAGAAAAACCAAAAGTACTCATATAGACCAGACTTAATAGCAGCAACTGTGAGAGGGATCTTAGAGTCCTAGTGGACAATCAATTAAATATGAGCCAAGAGTGTGTGCAGTGGCAGAGGCAAGAACATACTGTATTTAATGCTGGATTTTGTCTCGGCTACAGTCAAAATAGCCATCATTTGTAATTCTGAAGGGGAAGTACACTCATAGAAATATTTAAAGTAAATTCAATTTGTGATCTGCTCCCAAACACCTTGCACTTGATTTGAGCTCTGGGCTTTAAGTGGCATTGAGGGATAAAGATCGATAGCCTCTAGCACAGTGATTCTCAACCTGTGGGTCGGGACCCCATTTGGGGTCGATCGACCATTTCATGGGGGTCGCCAAGCAAAGCTGTCCGCCATTTTTTTTGTCTGCCATTTTTTTTGTCCGCCATTTTTTCCCCTTTTCCGGCAGGTGCCTTACCTCCCTTGGGCTGGGCCAGCTGGTGGTCGGCCTGCTCCGTCTCTGCCGCTTGCCAGATACGCCTCGGCCGGCGCAGGGGGCGGAACCACGCATGCGCGGCGCTCCCAGGCAGGGAAAGTCCTCGACTTACGACCGGTTGGGTAGTCCTCAACTTACGACCGGTTTAGTCCTCGACTTACGACTGGTTTAGTCCTCGACTTACGACCGGTTTAGTCCTCGACTTACGACCGGTGGGGGTCGTGGCATTAAAAAGGTTGAGAACCACTGCGAGTCTAGCAGAACTGAACTTTTTCTTTTTTAATAATTCCAACTCTCTCAACTTCCTTAGGCTATATTTATCCTTCAAGGTCCCAAGGCCCTGTGATCTAAGTCATTATTATAAGAATTTAGCATTATATAAGAACATAAGCAGGACCCTGCTGGATCAGCCCCCTGGCCCATCTAGTCCATTAATCTGTTATCAGAGGGGGTCAGCCACATTCACAAAGAAGCCCACTAGTTTCCCAGCAGGAGGCTTTCGGAGGTAGTCACAATGGTATCAAAGCTGACAGTCACTTACCCCGTAACATCCATGAATTGGGCCCTTTTTTAAAGCCCAGCAAACTGATAGCCAGCACCAGATCTGGAGGGCCTTCATTTCAGGCTCTCTAGGGAAAACAATAACAGGAGAATATTTCCTCTCTGGCTTGGTGAGAACTTCACTTATTTGCCCTGCATGTTTTGACATTATTTTAGCAGGATCTACCTTTGAAGTACAGGTATCAGCCGGTTCTCCTCATAACCAGCCTTCCCCAGCTGGTCCCACTAGCTCCGCTGGTATTGCCAACAAGTTCCAACTTGAATCTTTGTGTCTCTAGTTTCTGGAAACTGTCAAGCTCACATCCCAATCTAGAATATTTCACCCATTTTCAGAGTATTCCCAGTTCCCACAATAAATAACAGATATTCAAGCAGAGGCAGGACAGTCGGGGTTGAAACAGAATTTAATTGAATTGAGGTTTTACTTGTTGGATATTTTTCTGGATGTTGGTTTTTCTTCTCTTTTTTCTTCTGTTGTTTGTTATTGGGTGAGGAGGCCGCTGAACGTGAAACTTCTGTGGCTTAAAGCAGAAATGATACCAGAGAAAGAGGGAGATGGAGGAAGAGGCAGAGAGTAGAATGTGACCAAACATCCAGGCAGCAATGAGAGGGAGAGAGATCTGAGCAAAGTGCTGGTTGCAAGAACATGCCCACAATGCACTGACCCCACAGCACCCCACAAAACATGGCACACTAATGCAGTGTATCGTACCAGACATCTTGCCCTTCACATTCAGAAAAAAATATACAGCAATCAACTTTTGAATCAAAGAGTCCCTAACCCCAGATGCAGATCCATACCACCTACCAACCTACACACACACAGACATATACATAATGCTCATAATTAAATTGTATTTTGAGGTGGTAAGAACATATACTCTCTCACTTGTGTTTTCTCTCTCCCTCTCTCTCTTTCTCTCCCCGTCATACATACAAATGGAGCAACAGGTTATTGACAATATGCAGCACGCAGGTTTAAACACAACTCACAGAGATCAAAACATAGATGCTGATATTGCAAGGGACAAAAACACAAAAACACCATCTTGTATCAATAAGCAAATACAATCTGGACTCCAACGTAAGGACAATCTTCAAATGTGCAAATACTGGCCAAACACCAGGGCAAACATGCTGACATCATTTTGTACTTAGGTATAACGATGACTCAAGCAGGTCTAAACAGCAGACACTGCGCAACACACACAAAGCTGACTTGCAGCACTGCATCATGACAGGCAAAAGGAAGCGTCAGTCTTTGCATATCCTGGGCTATTCCAGTGAGTGGGTCTGAGAAGACCAGGAGCAAGAGAGTGTGGAACAAGAACGATGGAAGATGTGATCTAATGGGCACTCAGAGTCTGTGCACTGAAAGAGCAGGCATGGCCAGAGTATGCCAGGATGCATGCATTTATAGGACACTTGGATTACGGAAGTTGTGTCCAGCAAAGCGAGCTTCATCACCAAGTTCTTCCTCAATCCTGTGAAATGCAGACAAAGAGATAGTTAATGGAGTATATTATGGGTATTATGGGTATCAGCCACATATTAGATACAATCCAAAAAAAAGTTAATTTCATGTGAAATTTAACGTTGGAACACATCTTTCTGTGGAACCCAACGAATGACAGTGTACTATAAAAGTGCAGGCTATGAACTGGAACCATCTTTTATTCAGCTCCTGTCTTTACATTCAAAGCTTTTAATGACTCTTTGTGAGGAAAATACAGTTCTGATGGAAAAAATATGTTGTTTGTACTTTTTTTAAAATGTTCGCTTCTTGTTGACACTAAATGATATCAAAAATGGGGGCCTGATATACTGTATCAAGGAAATATGGGAACACAAGTAGCAACTAAATTTGGTAGCTTTTTCCCTGACTTTATAAAATAGGCCACATGATGTGCTAGGGGAAAAACCCAATTCCTGTAGGTAGTGATCAGTCTTTCATCCATTCAAGCAATGGATGGAAACTAACCAAAGAGAGAAGCAACCTAAAACTAAGGAGACATTTCCTGACAGTTAGAACAATTAACCAATGGAACAACCTGCCTCCAGAAGCTGTGAATGCTCCAACACTGGAAGTTTTTAAGAAGAGACTGGACAGCCATTTGTCTGAAATGATATAGGACAGTGGTGGTGAACCTATGGCACACGTGCCAGAGGCGGCACTCAGAGCCCTCTCTGTGGGCACTTGTGCCATGCCCCGGAGATGGTGAGGGACTGGCCCCCGCCGCCCTGGCCCCACCCACCCAGGCTGCCATGACCACCGCGGCCACGCCCACCCGGCACCCGGTGATAAATAAGTGGGTTTGGGGTTGCAATTTGGGCACTGGGTCTCTAAAAGGTTTGCCATCACTGGTATAGGATTTCCTGCCTGAGCAAGGGGTTGGACTAGATCAGGTGTAGGCAACCAACCAGAATTCTGGGAGTTGAAGTCCACGAGTCATAAAAGAGCCAAGGTTGCCTACCCCTGGACTAGATGGTTCCTTCCAACTTTATTATTATTATTATTATTATTATTATTATTATTACTACTACTACTACTACTACTACTACTACTACTACTACTACTACTACTACTATATTGCTGTACTGTGTAGAGAAACATTTGCTCATTCCTCCAAGCTGCACTGCTACAGGTCAGTCACATTGGGTTTTTTAATAAAAATGAACAGCTCATCTTAAGCATCCTGCCACAACATTTCAGTGGGGTTTAGTTATGGACTTTGGTCTGGTTACTCCAAAACACGGAATTTGTTCTTTTCCATACACTCTCTTGTTCGACATTTCTGTCCTGTGGTGTTATCAAGCCTTCTACTATCATTTGCACAGAGAGGGCTGTAAAGCACAATGAAGTGGTATATAAGTCTAAGTGTTATTGCTATTCTAAAGGCAAGCTGTTCCACTGGTTAATTGTTCTCACTGTCAGGAAAAGTTGCCAACTTGTATTAGAATATTCAATTGCTATATACTGATTGCTTTGCTACTTAAAGAGTTCCCCTTTAAACTCATCCGTCCATAGAACATGTGCCTCCACAAGCATCAATATTCATAACAAGCAATGGCTTTCACCTTGCTCTGAGGCATCCATTGGCAGTTAAAATAGGCAAGAAAGCAGTTGTGGCATCACAGTCCAAGCCCCATCTCTTTTGTATGCATGTGCAAAGGAGTGGAGTTTCAGTCACAATGTTGCAAGTGCCATCTTGCCTGTTTTGATCCTCCAGTGGAGTCTGCTGATGATGCTATTCTTCAGTGAAGCTTATTTTATCTCGGGTCTTTTCTGATGATGAAATCAAGAAGTGGTTTTAGGTATAGTTAGACAGGTCAGCGGATTCTTGGCTATCACTTGGTGTTATTTGGGACTCCTGTTTTTGTGCTATGCTCTCGGTCTGATTTTGACAGAATAAAAATTCTTGGGAACATTAATTATTGTTCCAAATTTTTGTTTCATGACTATCAGTTTTTCTGCACCATGGCCTTAAACCTCTGGACTCATAAACCTCATAAACTGGCTGTAAATGAAGCTGACTTAAAAATGCATTTCTGGCTGTAACCTCTTCTTCTACTTTAGCCATGGTGTTCTGCCCAGATGCTGACTATGACTTCCTACTGGTAGATTCCCCTGCTTCTTTATCCCCACTACCTGTGCCAGAAATGCAAGCATTAACCACTTCCTTTTCCATGGGCTGGTCCTTAAGGACATATGATTTCCACTGACAAATCTCATTTTCCATTAAAAAAAATGCAGTAAGGAGAGAAAAACAGATGTGCAGGATGTTTTGTTGGGTACTACTAGAAGACTTCCCTCTGGAGGCCCCTAAGAATTTGACTTAGAATAACAACTGAAAGAGATTCCCTGCTGCTTCCATCATAAGCCCGCCTCAGAATGATCCTTAGAACTCAATCTTTGTTCAGACACCTGAAAGATCTGCAACATAAAGATCTCTACTCCTTATTCTCTTGGCTGCTCTCTGTACTTGGCAGCTATTTGTATCAATCAAGAAACAACAAGATAAATCTGCTGCAGTGATGGCCTGGACCCAAGGCAAGACAAGCATTATGTATACAAAGGTAACATTGAGGATGCCATACTGTTTTGATGATGTTGTCAACCACCAGAGCACATGTATGCTCTAGTGCTGTGTTCGTGCTGTGCATGGCTGTGCAGTAGCAACAGGATGCAATGACTCTCTAGCAACAAAGCTCCCCCTTTCTTATATTAATCCAATCCAGTGGGACAGACCTCTGCTGGAAGTTGATGCAGGTTGGTATTCCCATCTTCAAACTCACTCACTCTCTTTTCTCACACATAAGCATATCCATTTTACTTCCCTCACATTTCTTACCTCATTAGCTGATTATATTTTGCCAGTCGCTCAGATCTACACGGAGCTCCGGTCTTTATCTGCAAACGTCAATGTCAATTCAGTAATATTTTATGGAGATTCACACAAACATGTCAATTATGGGCAAAGGCTGCCCACCGAGAGTACACATTTTCTGTGCTTATCTGATCTCTGTCACTATATCAAAGGTGTATGAGATGAGGAATAAACCTAAAGTAAACTTTTTTTGCTAACTGCCCAATCTCTGCAAAAGTTTGCCTTAAAAGGGGGGGGAGGGAGGGGGAGAAAAAAGGGCCCGAATAATCTCTTGTTACCAGAAATTTGCCTGCTTATTCTCCTCTGCTCCCACATTCTGCCCCAAGCTTGTCAGCAGGAAGCAAATGGATCACTTCCCCCCACTCACCCACAGAGGTTTGATGCCTAGCGGCTTGTCAGAAGAAACGGAGGTGGTGGGTGCAACTGGATCTTCATTGCACAGTGTATTTAGCTGACATGTTTCTATATTTCTTTAGAGGAGGATATTGAGATTACTAGAATAACAGAGTTTGGAAGGGGCCCTAAGGTCTTCTAGTCCAACCCCCTGCTATTCCTATGCTACAAGTGGCCCCAAGTCCATTTGCTGCCGTGTTTCTGTCCTTTTCACCATCCATCACTTTTTCTGGAAATCTCCCCAGGTTTCAAGAAATACAGCTTCCTCATGGATCTGCTTGTTATGTTCCAGTCTTTTACCTTACCCACATTATCATTCTTTTCTTCTGAACAAAAAGAAACAATGTTTAAGATGCTAAATTAGGACTAAGAACGACCAGATTCAAGCTTACATTCAGCCATGAAAATTAGACCAGGCATTGTGTACGAGACCATATGCACAGTGTATGGCTTAATGCAGGGGTGTCAACTGCTGGCCCGCGCCCACCCCATTGCTGGCAATGGCAAAACAGTCCCGATACATCTCGCAACGTCACATGACGTCGCGAGTTTGACATGTCTGCTTTAGACTGATTACTATCTCTCTTGCTCAGCTTACCACACCAGTGCTGTTGGTATGGAAAACATTGGAAGAAAGAATAAAAGTTACCCCAGCTGTTATGTCATAGCAATATGTTCCATATTCCATCTGATATTGGTCCCCATTCTGCTGGGACTGTATTTAAGTACCCAACATTCCCAGTTACACATACTGTCGTCTTGGTTATTACAGTGACTGAAAGTTTGTATCTGATTTATTGAAACGTCTACTCTTTGTCAACACTTTTGTACATTTTTATCTCACAATGCTCATTTGAATCAGACACCAAATCAAATCTGTCTATGAAGAATTCTGTCTCAAGAGTGGCAATATTCTAGCTCTGACCTGCTTCTTCCCAAAAGGAGACAAGACATGATTTCCACTAGTTAGAACCTACCTGCCCAGTACAGAGTCCCACCACCAGGTCAGCAATGAAGGTGTCTTCAGTCTCCCCTGATCGATGACTCACCATCACCCCCCAGCCATTCTCTTGAGCCAGTTTACAGCTGTAAGTGAATAAAGTGACCTATTAAGTTATTAAAATAACTTAGTGGATTTGCCTCCTGAAGATAATCTTGGAGCTGTCAGTGGGTACGTGATAGCACAGAGGCTGTTGGAGAATGGGGCGGCTTAAGAGAACTCACGCTTGAATAGCTTCAGTGACCGATCCAATCTGGTTGACCTTAAGCAGTAGACAGTTGCAGGCCTTCTCCTCAACCGCATGCTCAATGCGTTTGGGGTTGGTCACTGTCAAGTCATCTCCCACTATCTGAATCCCTACATTAGCTGTGAATTTTGACCAAGCTTCCCAGTCATCCTGATCAAAAGGATCCTCAATGGACACCACTGCAAAGGGAAAAGAAAATGAGAAAATAACAATACACCCCAGGCTGAAAATAAAGGAAGTCTCAGTGTTTTTAGTTCTGGTAGCAAGGCTTCCACCCTACGTAGTCACTCACCTGGATAGTCCCGTACAAAGCTCTGATAGAGGTCACCCAGTTCATCGGCAGAGATGTAACGGCTGGGATCATCAGGGGATTTGAAATCCAAGTCATACTTGCCATCTCTATAGAACTCTGATGCAGCCACATCCATGCCAATCACAATCTTATCAGCATAACCAGCTTTCTCAATGGCTTCCTTGAGCAGCTCTAAAGCTGAGAGGCAGAAATGGAGGCAAGTTATTTAGGAAGGGAATATGTCTTTAAAGGATTTAGAACATCTCTTCAAAGACCTCTCTTTCAAAGTATCTCTTAGTACTGTACTTTTTTTTCTCACCTTCACTATTCTCCAGGATGTTTGGGGCAAAGCCCCCTTCATCTCCTACATTGGTGGCATCTTTACCATACTTGTCTTTGATCACACTCTTGAGATTATGATAGACTTCAGCACCAATGCGCATGGCATCCCGGAAGCTTTCAGCCCCAACAGGCAAGATCATAAACTCTTGCATGGCCAGTTTATTTCCAGCATGGGACCCTCCGTTGATCACATTAAAAGCCTGGAAGAATTTAGAAACAGTAACAGCAAACAGGGGATCTTCAGTGATATATTTTAAAGCACCATACAATAATTGTAAATGATGGTCTGAAATTGTTTGAATTATAATGGTTTCTTTCATCTGTAAATATCCTAGGTATTGTGAGGCTAAGAACATTTTGTTAGAAGTATTTTGGTTTTACATAGAACTAAAATACCATGTTTGTAACCCTAACCCTAAAGATAAGCCTTTGAAAGTTCATACAGTATATTTAATATGGACATAAAACTAGCATGCATGCAAAGGACTATAAAGGTGTATGGTATATTGGGGAAAATCCAGCTCTTTTGGACCCTTGTTCAATTTGTTGTTACCTGACTCTCTGCTCCATACCTCAGTTTTATGGGTGTGAAATCAAGAAAACATCACCAGATTCTTACGGGGACTGGCAGAATGAGATCTGAATTTCCAGCCAGGTCAGCAATATGACGGTACAGGGGTACATCCTTCTCTGCAGCGGCAGCTTTGCAGACAGCCAGGGAAACACCCAGTATGGCATTAGCTCCAAATTTAGCTGAGGATTTTGCAAAATTGATTAGTAAACAGCATAATCAGAAATTACAACCAAAGATCTTTGACCCAAAGATTTTACCAGCGTCTAGCTGCCCCACAGCATCTGCTACTCATCTGGCCTGGGATTCCCTGCCTGGCTTTGATAGTAGCTTTTAATTTTGCCACATTTTTTTCCATTGGGCTTCCTACTCAAGAGTAGTCTGTAAACAGTAGCAGCTCATTTGTTTTGAGAGGGAGGCTAACACTTCCCTCCTCCGCTCTAGAGTCCACACTTGAGTGCGCTAGGTTTCCCCTCATATACCTGAAATGTATTTCTGCTGATCTCTCTTTGGCTGGTTGTTGCTGCTAAGACCCATCCCCTGTGAGTATGCTTATTTGTTCTAAACTACTCAGAACATACACTCAGTCAGTATTGATTTGGAGCCACTGTGTAGAATCTCCAAAGCCAATTCTGATAGGCCTTTGCATTTGACCCTGCCAAAATACATCCATTCCAAGCCTGCTAGGAAAGCAATCCGTAAGGAGGAGTCCAGCATCAAAAGCATGCATCCAAAAAGAGAGAGAGAGAGAAAGACAGAGAGAGGTCAGTTTAGAGCAGTGGTGGCAAACCTATGGCACGGGTTCCAGAGGCGGCACTCGGAGCCCTCTCTGTGGGCACACGTGCCGTTGCCCCAGCCTCGCCTCCCCCCGCGACCCCCTCCTCTCCAGCAGCCCCCCTGAAGGAGAGTCGCCCCTGAGCGTGGCCCACACGGAGCAGCGCAGCCAAGGACATGGCAGCCAGGCAGCGTAGACAAGACTCTGCCCTCACGCCCCATTATGCACAGCTGATGCTGCAGGGCGCGGGCAGAGGGTGTGACCGCCATAGCACTGCTGGGCTGCCTGGGCGATCTGCGGCGGGCCCTGGAGGCGGTGAGTGGCCCTGCGGGCAGGTGGGGTGGGGGATGGGGGGGCGGAGCGGAGGCGGGGCATGGGGTGGAGCGGGGGCAGGGCCAGTTTTGGGGCACTCGGTTTCTAAAAAGTTCGCCAACACTGGTTTAGAGAGTAGCTTTATACTGGTCTGCCGTGTTGCTTTGGTGGAGTTAGTTATGTGTGTTCTATTGACCTCATGTAGACATAAATTATTTGCATTGTTCTTTGCAGAGAGAAGACTAGCAAGACAGTGGCAGTGCTTTGCACCCTAAGTCCATCCAAAGGAAGAAGGGAAAGAATCAGCAGAAAAATTGCATTAATTCCAGTGTGTGTGAAAAATAGGAGGGGCCCACTCCCTTTTTGACTCATCATTTCCTTTCTTATTTTAATCTGATCTTTTTCCCAAATTCTCATCTTTTTTTGTTTCAACCTTCATCATTTTACTTGAAAAATTCCAGAAATTTCCCTTGCTGTCTCAAAATCTATATTGTGGTGAAGGAGACTGAGGAGATTCATGTAGGAGTGAGAGATCAAGCAAAATGCAGAAAGATTCTAGGTAGCTCTATCCTGAATTCAGCCTCATTCAATTCGACTGGAATTCTTCTTCCCATTAATTCTCTAACATGGGAAAGAATCTATTTTGGGACCAAGATTATATTCAGCATTGCGTGGCATGGTGAGAGCTGCACACAGAAACTGCTATTGCCAGATAAGATGTGTAGTGTCAAACGGGAAAATGGATGACGTCAAAGCAAACCCAAAATAGTATATAGTATATGTTTGTATTTAGGAAGCATAAAATAAGAAACAAAAATAAATGTTTTGCCTTTAACTATAGACAGCCTTAGCAACAAAGAATAGATTAATGTAGGAAGTGGCATAGATAATAATAACACATTCGATGTAATTGTGCCTTTGGGGACAAAGTATACAGGGATTAGACAAGTAAGCTTCAAATAAGTGTTGCTTTTTCATCCAGTTGTCTCCTTATATTTGTGATCTTGGGCTCTGTTTATCATACCAATAAACAGATTTTTTTTCAGAATTGAAAATAAAGGAATTTAAGGAATGGGTTTGTGTTGCCTTGCTTAAGCCCCATCCCTTCTCTTGCATTCAAAATCTGGGTTTATTTGCTGGTCCCAATCCTTCTCCTGCTTTACTTTTTGGATGTTTGTCAGTTTACTAGTCTCAGTTTGCCTTCTTGCTGGGACATAAGAATACAATGTGAAAGGAGTGGTTTTTGTGAGCTGTGTTAATAAAAACCTCCCACTCTCAATTAATCATGATTTTGTTCTCTTTTGACTTTTGAATGTGGATTGAAAGAAATACAATAGTGCTGAGATTCCAAATTGCAGTTCCCCAGTCTTGCCCTATGGTTAGTTATTCAGCCTTAGTCTTACCGGATTGTGCTGCTCTTTTGCCCTCCCTTCATGACCTTTCCCCCAATTTTTTTAATGAAGAAAAAAGTTGGGTTTACATTTATTCTCCGTGCCATCCAGTTCCAGCATGAGGTTGTCTATCTTCTCTTGCTCCACAACCGAAAGGGCCTGAAGAAAGAAAGGTTAATCTCTTAAATGGAAGAAATCTGGCTAAAACTACCTGGTAAACTACCTTTAGTTTCACTGAAATTTAGTCCTGTAGCACAGCATTCAGTGTTTGATTGAACTTCATTGGAAAAAAACATTTTAAAAGTCTTTTAATAATGCCTATGTCTTTATTTATTGTCAATAAATAAAATGAGGGGAAAGGAAGGCTGGAAGGAAGCACTTCCAACTGCCGCCATTTTCATGCTCCACATCTACAGAAACCGTTTGAATGCAATCCATATTATCTCCATGTCTCTCAGCCTGCAGGGCCAAAAATGAGGAGCAAAAATTACTATCCAGTCCTGAGTGCTATAGGTTCAGAAGCAATATAAAACCTTTTACACCCACTCCACAGGAAAGAAAGAAAGAAAGAAAGAAAGAAAGAAAGAAAGAAAGAAAGAAAGAAAGAAAGAAAGAAAGAAAGAAAGAAAGAAAGAAAGAAAGAAAGAAAGAACATTGGTGCTTCACCTGAGTTATTGAGAATAAAATGTATAGCTGTGTTTCCCCAAGCTCAGGAGGAAAATAAAGCAATAGTTCCCTCTAGTGGAGAAATGAAGTATCTGTTCCCCAAAAACCATCCAAGCCAAGCCATCACCATCACACCCAGTTTTTCAGTATTTCAATTATATCATCATCAAGCCAAAAATAAATCAAATTGTGTCTGCAGTGCTGCCGAAATCATAGGAACCCAGAAATTCAGAACTGATTTCAAACTGTTGCAAAATCCTTGTATGAAAGTGCCAGGAAGAGGGAGGGAGGGAGGGAGAGAACACATGCATAGAAGCCAAATATGAGAAGATTAAGACTAAAGGACAACTTACAGAGCTCACAAGAGCAGGGGCAATAGTGCTGTTGATGTGATCCACTGCCTGCAGAACCCCTACAGAAAGGGAAAAGATGCAGAGTCACATAGACAGAGTAAAAAAATAAATACAGAGAGACTTGTGAGTCTATCAGCTTTTCTGAGTCATTTCAGTTTGGAGAAATTTTACACCATAACATCTGCTGTTGTTGCTAGTTCAAAAGCAGGTGGCAGTCTATGTGTACACACAGACACACAAGTAGGCATAAACAACCAGTGTTCTCTAGAATTGTTCCATATTGTTTGGTAATTCCAGTTTTAATGCCCCTACCTTTGCCAAGGAATCGGGATTTATCATTGTCACGCAGTTCCAAAGCTTCATAGATGCCAGTGGAGGCACCGCTTGGTACAGCTGCCCTGAACATTCCTGTGAAGAAATCACAACATGGGAATCTTTCATAGAAAAATAGTAGCTTAGATTATGGGAGAATTCTGGGGGATTTGAAGTCCACGAGTCTTAAAGTTGCCAAGGTTGGATACCCCTGGTTTAGACCATCTAAGCAGTGAATTATCTCTTCTGGTTACACAGTTGCCTTCATTTTTTTTAAAAAAAAAACAAACCTACTTTAAGTATATCATTATTTCTTAAAGACATAGTGAAAATCATGCAGGCAGTATGATTGACCCAGTTGTTCCATAAGAAATAGCTGTGCTTCAATTTTCCAAAGTTATGGCCAGTGACTGAAAAAGAACTGGACATATGATAATATAGCTACAACTACTGTACGTTACAAATGTAATTACTATACATTACATCAGTACAATTGTAATGTAATTAATGCAATTATAGTTATTTAAATGATTTAATTCAACATGTATAAAGCTATCTGTCTTTCTTTAAAACAATTTGAGAATACTTTTTATAGTGTATAACATTCAGGCTCACTTAACTCATGTTCCGGCCTAAGCTCTGTCCCGGCCACGTTTGCAAAGTATGTATGAAAACATGTCTCTATTTTTTAAAAACATGCTAAATATATTGCTTCTGCAATAATTGGTGCCTGTCTCATATAAAGGTTCATGATCATTTCTTTAATAATTAATTCCAGAGAACAATTATGCCATTTTAAGCATTCCTATAAGTATTTAAAGTTCACTGTGACGCAACTGAAAACAGCCCTTCCTTCCTATGCATCTTAGTCTTTTAGAGTCTTGGGAAAGGGAATCTTATAAATTATCCAGGCAACAAATAGGCTTTAGTCAATGGCCAAGCTTTTGGTCATTTTTTTCCCTTTAAAATTCATTCTACTTACATTCCTTTACTTATTTTTTCTTATTTACTAAGTTTTTATAGCTCCAATCTTCTATTTCATTTCTGTTCAGTTGTTTAAAGAGTATTTTCTTTTTCTGCTTTCTTTTTATATTATTATATTATATTATTAACTTTTATTTATCATAGTTGGGAAGTGGGTGGAAAAATAAATATGCTGGCTCTTTACATATTTTGCTTCCTTTTCTCTGATTTTGTTATTCTGTTTCTCCCTTTTTTCCAAACCTAGACTATGTCTTGTTTTTTTACTACTCTTATTGTCTTCCTTTCCCTTCCTTTGCTTTAATTTCTCTTAATCCAAGGTTTCTTTTACAGAAGACTTGGTACAGTTCCAGGTGGTGGTTCTAAAGTGCATATAATATTGCCGTCTGTAAATCACCATGTTGATTTTCTTCTCACTCGATTGCAACTTGCAGATCATTTTGTGATTTAAAGCCCTGGAGTTCAATGGTATTTGGGATCAGGATGGTCCTCTGCTAATAAGAATCCTTGCAATCTGCATCATCTGCCTTGAGTCTCTTTCTCCTTGCTCTAGCTGTGAAGCTCCAAAATACAATAAGTAACAGGATCAGCTTTTAGTCCTGATTTCTTTCAGGTTCTTTTCTAAACTCTTTTATAAGTTAACATTTTTATTTGACTGCAGATACCTATTTCAGGTCATTCTGTTTCTTGTATTTATTTTTGGCTCAGAGATTGGCAATATTTGATGTTGTAGACACATCTGGAATGTATGAGCATGTTATGGGCACTGTCACAAAATGGCTGCTGTGGAGGGCTTATCTGTTCACAACATGGCTGCCTAGACTATGGCTAGTCACAACACATTAATTTATCACAAGAGAAATGGATGAAATTGCTCCTTAAGGTTTATAACACCACTTCTCTTCCTCTGAATGAATGGTGGAACTTTACGTGAAGGGCTTTATGCCATATATAAAGGCAGAAAGTTTCATCAAGTTACTTCCAAGTAAGGTTTTTACACTATTACTGTTCTCATACTCATGAAATTTGACTGGAAACTCATGGAATTCCCTGAAAGTATAAATAATGCCCTCCTGCTTTTTTATGTTTTCCCATCACTTCCATCTTTTTGCCTTTTGATTGTTAATACTAAGAATCCTCCAACAGAAAGCATTCCTGTTGGGCTTGAAGAAAAACTAGAGTAGGCTTGTTGTCTGATGGCCAAGTCTGATGGGTACAAGGGCTGGCCTGAGCATCAAAATTAACAACTTGCCAAAGAAGAAATACCATGACTTATTCTAACTTCCAAGTATGAAAACCATGAATTTCAGATCAATTTCAGAGCTCTAAGTATGTATGTAAATGTAAGAATTCTTATCACTTTTTTGCTTCATACCCTCCCACTACTGCAGGAATGTTCCTTTCCTTACTCTCTCGGCTCTAGTGGTGGGAATTAATAAGTGAGCACAGCTAAAACTGAACTGCTCAGATTCTCAGTGAGGCATTTGGTAGAGATGAGAGGAAAAAGGAGATACTTCTCAATCCTTCTTTCAGGGTTGGTAACACCTGACCTTTCCAGCTCACTTCCTCTCAGAACAAATCCATTAGCTCAATACATGGGCTGCAAAAGATGCAAACTTCTTCTTGTCAGTTTGTACCTTTTGAGGTATGCAAATCCACCTCGACAGTTGGATTCCCACGAGAGTCTAGGATCTCACGAGCACGAATCTCTTCAATGGACATTGTGGAAATGGGATTTCCTGCGGGAGAATAAAGACAGAAAGCCCAAGAAAAGAACGGAAGACAAAGTTAGCTTTGAAACGTTCATCCTATGTTCCTTCACATCCCTGTTCCCATCAAAAAGTTCTTCAGCTCGGAATAGAATTTAAATGTACAAACAGTATAAAGAGTGTGAAGGATAAAATGGGGGTAGTTGGTAATGCCATAGAAGTCTTACATTGTGAATACAAGTATGACATACAGCCCTGGCTCTTAAATGTAGCTGGTGCAATTTTGTAAGGTGCATTTAGGCTGAAGGCGTATCTCACACTCTTGCAGCTGCTGTGCAGATGAGTCAGCCAGTCTGAGTAGAACACTCTCACTCCCTACCATCTGATTTTGGAAAAGCTACAGCAGGTCATTTGCTTCTCTGGTAATATGACCCTCTCAGCCAGAAGTCTTTTCGTTAATTCTTCTGTTTAAGGACTCCCTGGGAGAGAAATGCTCTCTGTTCTCCCTTAAACCCAGATATTTCAGGGTTTTCTTCCTGGCATTGAACAGACACACTGAAGTTGCATCCTTGGTAGCAATGGCACAAATTAAGGACTCTGTCTCTTTCCTGGCAGTCCAGCACTTGGGAGGGGCTCCTCTCACTTAGGATAGGCAACCAAGGATGTGGCACAGATTTGTAGCATTATCTTTGGCTGGAGCAATTTCTTCACAAGAGAAAAACATTTTATATAGGCTTTTTACACTTTTTTGGGTGGGGGGAGACTGCCTGTCCCCTTGGAAAAAAGGAGCAGTGCAAAGAGGCACTTCAGTTAATGTGCCCTATTTTTTTTTCTGCCCTGGCTTCCAATGTCTTGTCTTCATTATATGTTCAGTGGGCTGTAATCTTACAATAATTTGCAGTCTCATAGCAGTAAGACAGAGGCCTTGAACTCTCCAAGTGCATCAGAATTTCTTGTATGGAACAAAGTGCTGCCTCTTCATTCACGGAGCCAGTCATACTGCTGGCTATGGGAAAGGAACTGTTTCACGGCAGTTCAATATCAAGAGACAAACAACTGGATGTCATTTAGCCTGCCTTGCACTTAAATTACATTAGACCTCTGCCATCAGCTGCAGTGGAATAAGATGGAATTGTCAACTTTGAGAACTTTGGTTTTTGCTATGGAAATGAGGTAGGTACAATATTGTCCTTGGCATTGGAAGGAAGGAAGGAGATAATTAAGTTACACCTGCTCTTTCCTCAACTCCCTATTTTGTTTTCTTCCGAGGCCATATTTTTCTGCTGGGTCCAATAGCATTGACGTCATCTTGCTTCAGCCCCTGAGGCAAATTTAAGTTGTCCTTAGTGTTCGGGGTGCTAATGTAGGAATTCTTACCTTATTCTGACATCTCCAAAAGTAGCCTCAAGCCTATGAATTCTTGTAGGCATTGTCACTTTGTAGGGCAATCAGGTAACTGGTAAAATAGGGATTGGCAATGGGGAAAGCACATATCATGCTGATATTCTGCTGACATAAGGGTGAATAGTATTGTGTGGATAGTATTTTGACTCAAGGGCAGGAAAAGACCAAAAATCTAGTTTATTAGGACTCAAAAGTTAACAAAGATTTACTAGAGACCTAGCTGTCTGCCACAAATGGTTGATTTCTGCTTCATCACAGACTATGCAGTTAATATTTCCAGATATTATTCTGTAAGTAGAATGTCCTTTCTTCTACTTTTATATCATCCCATAAAAAGAGAACAATAGGCAGCTGAAAAGGGGGAAGGTGGTTTTATTTGAATTCAAGAATCAGAAGGCTTTAAAAATAATTTATTTCCTCCTGCTTTGATCCCGTTTCTATTCCCCTCCAATCCTACAACTGCCTTTAGAAAATGATGCTGGAAATTTAGACGTGAATTGCTTAGATCACATACCGGTTGATAAGGTCTGATACTATTGTTAAGACACTTTCTGTTTCTAACCCAAATTTGAAAAAGCACAATAAATTCTCCATAATGGAAAAAATTTGCCTTCCAAAGTTATTTCCCTTTACTATTAAAGAAAGAGAAGTACATTGAAACTGATGGCAAATGTGTAATAGAAGCCAAGCAAATTTTAAACTAGTTTAAAAGCTAATATGGCCGTGCTGTATCACATCTTCACCCTATCTTGTCCAGCTCTTTATTTTCTCAGTAGCCAGCTATATGCTTGTGGGAGGCCTCAGCGTAGGATGTGAATACAACAGTATCCTGCAATTCATGTTCCCTAGTAGCTGAAGAATAGCTATTTAGCTACTGTGGTTTCTCCAAACAATTATGGGAATTGTGTTTTGATGAAGTAGTTGCAAATTCTTTGTCAAAATTCCCCTTACAATGCAGTTTTTTATAAATGAAGAAGTAACAATGAATTAGTTGAAGTATTTGGACTCCAGCAGTATACAAATGCAAGCCATAGACAAATGAAGGTGCGTTATGCTGTATGAGGCATGATCAACATATCAGAGGTGGCACTAAGCCAAAATAATGACACATATCACAGAGGATTCGAGATGGAAAATCCAGATTTGGACCTTCATGGCAGAATCTACTCAGGATGGTCACCTGTACAAATCCTATTAAAATAAAGATGAGCTATGCCATAAGGAAAGTAGGGCAGTTTACTACATAGAATTGGATTAGGGCTTTCCTATGTATGATACTTTATGGCTCAAATTGGACTCACCTTTTGGTACTGTTAATCCACCACAGGCTTGCTCCATTATATTACTAACTATGTTGTATGCTGCTTGTGTGGCGTAAAATTAAATTTAACTATAAATAAAAGTAAAAACCCAATTTATTTTCAGCTCACCTCTGGCCCAAAAGAAATTAGAAATCTTCTGGTTCTCTGCAAGAAACTCCAGATCTCTGCAATTCTTGAAGATGGGTAGTTATCCACTGATAAGTACCCCCTACGTTGGTCTCCCTTTTCATCTGGTAAGTAGACCACCCATCTTCAAGATTGGTACCCAGCACTAGACAGTAGCAGGAGACCATAAGTTTGAGCCCCCCCCCCCATTTAAGCAGTTTTAAAGCCTTATGTGGAACTATCCTTGCAAGACAAAACATTAATACTCTCCTATACCCTGATTTATAGTTCTCAAATTTAATGTCATTAGCTTGAGTTTATACTGTGCACACTTCTTGATTGCAATGATGTGGAGGTAACAGCGGCCTTTCCCGATAATGCCATTATTGTGTAGGATCCAGAGTGGTTGTTTGTGTGCGTTACCAACATTTAACAGAGCAGGTGCTCTTTGCAAGGACTGAAATCTTCCCAGGCAACCTAAATTCTATATCAAGAATAATTGTTCATCATTCAGCATGTTTACAAGTTGAGACATTTGGCTCTTGTTCTTCTAATTCTGCAAATGTTATTCCTAAATTCTGAGATTGATCAGAACCAGACTGACATGTTTTGAACTGTTATATACAATTTAAGAATTAGAACAGTAAAGACTAGGGAAAAATTGCTTTCTTAAATGAATTCTAGCTACCTCTGGGATCTGTGTGCATTTCTCCTTTTTTTCTGCACTCATATTTATTTATTTATTTATTTATTATTTAAATTTATATACCGCCCTATCTCCCTTACGGGACTCAGGGTGGTGAACAGGCAATAATAAAAATCACAATAAATATTAAATAAAAAGCCTGCTCTAAAATACCCCATATAAAAACCCCTACCAAAACACAATCAGAACTACGCCAGGCCGGCCGCATAGAATAGACAAGATAGTCACAGCCTTGTCTCTGATAAAAACACAATTCCTCCTGTCCCGGCATGTGCAGTTTTACTGGGAAGGTAAGGATTTAACAACTTATTTTCAGTGTGTGTATTTATTTGCTAGGAAGCACAGCTTCCTCCTTTAACCATTTCAGGTTGCAATTTTAATTACACTTATTTGGAAGTGAGACATGCTGAACTTAACTGCTTTTATATCTGAGCAGATCTATACACATTCCACTATTCTCTCAACAACTTGGAGGAGCCAAATGCAGTTAACATAAATAAATACAGTATGTACAAATAAATTACTAGTAGAGCTAAGTAACTCCTCAGGATTAGTGCCTTACTACAAAGAAAATTTTAATTTTTCCTTGCTGGATGTGTTCTTATTTTTTAATTAAAAAGGCTTTTTGCCGCTCATGCTATTTACATTTTATCTGAACAACTGACATGTTATAGATACAAGACAGGTGTTTGACCAGAGATACCAGTAATCACACAGAGGAGCTCTCATGCCTAAAAAGAGGCAGGTATTTATTGTAAGAACTACAATCCCTTCATGAATCTCAGAGCACCTCCCACATAATTCTTTCTTGGCTCCAATCCAGGTCTCACAGAGAGCTAGGTCTATTCTTATACCCCTATAAGATTGGGTTATGTGTCTTCTGACGAACTCTAATATTCTGAACATAAAGATGTCAAGAGTACAAAATGAAGTGTTCAGAGAAAGAAACAGTCAATTGCTTGTTAGAGTGAAAGCAGGGGGTCTACCCATTCTTATCAGAAACTCTGAAAGTGGACAGATCCAAAAAGGAATGCAAAATTCAGCTCTCTTCCTTCCCAGTGAAGTCTCCTTCCCATAGTTAGTTGACTTGCCTCCTTGCTCAACCATTCCCTTCTTGCCTGGTGCTAAACTGTAGGGTTGTGTTTTTTTTAAGCAATACCTATAATACGAAAGGAAGATAAGAATGATGAAGCGATATTGCCCTTTAATGTCATCAGGAAGATATTTATGGGCATTCCTCTACCTGCACCACAGTGATGCAGATACCAGGCTACAGAGCGGAATGAAAACCACAACAGGTCTAGGAGAGAGAGAGAGAGAGAGAGAGAGAGAGAGAGAGAGAGAGAGAGAGAGAGAGACCTATGAGACTGGGGATGAAGGCTGACCCGGAATGGGCAAATGAAAAGACTAAGCATATAGTATAAACTGTGGCAGAATTAAGCTTTCTTTCTTCTGTCCTATCTATTTTAATCCATAAAAATAGTAATCACTTTGCAAGAAAAGCCTTCAGAGTCTTTAAGTGATTTTTCTGGATCCTGAAAGTATATATTCCCTGCCAACCCTACGTTCTGACCTGTTATCCCAGACTGTCATTCTGAGACGACAAGATTCAACTAGGAGGTCAGAAACTTCCCTGTTCAAGTGTCAGGAGACTATTTGTTTTTTCTCTACATTCTCTCATATATTGTTTGGCATCCATATTGAGGATTCCATTTGTGTCAGCATTTCTTTGGCAGAGTCCAAAGTGTAAGCAATCTAGAATTCTCCGTTCATCAGTCCTATTGATATACTTGAGTCATTCCAGTACTGATTGCGGTTAGAACATTTTATTGCTTTGGTGTATCTTCTGCCTTGACCTCATCCTTCAAAGACTCTTAGGTTCAGAAAAGCTGAGTTTATCCGAGCTGCCTTCCGACCCCCAGTCACATTGGTCCTCATTTTTCAGTTCCTTCCATCAACTCGTTCTTTCCCATTCTCCCACACAAGTTATTTTCCAAACCAGCAGTAAGAAAAATCAGAAGCACCAGGAGCAGTTTGGTTCTGAAAGGAGGTCAGGCTCAGATAAGCAGGGATAAGGATTGGCCAGGGAGGAGGAGAAGGAGACACAGCCGAGGAGCCCCAGAAAGCCACAGGGATCAAGATGATAAAAGCTTCTATGGGAAGCTGTTTGAATGTTGTTATATCTGCATGGACTGCTGCTCCAGGCTTTCAGATAAGGCACTGGTAGCACGACACCCATCCACATCTTCATTTTCCCAAATGCCAGCAAAGAATTACCCTGGAAAGCACACCATCATCTTAAGATGATGCAGTAAGAGATTATCAGGCTGCCATTGCTTTCCTTTCAGGATCCCAGAGTGGATCACAGGTGTCCAATGAATGATATATCACTCTGTGTCAATCATAGTTGGGGTACAGACTGCAATAGCACCATCTACTTGCCTATAGGGGATGATAAAGGGAAAATTCAGCTTGATCCCTAGGGTGAAAAAGACTTGTCAGGTTTCCTGCACATTTCTGTTAAGGATGCATCACTTTTTTCAGTCCCCAACTCTGAACTCCACAGTTCTGATCAGGTACCACAAACACAACATCCAGAGAGAGGAATTTGCAGCCGCCAAAGGTGAGACAGAAAGCTCAGAAGGTCATGTGTTAGAAAGATAACACGAAAAAAATTTTTTGATTCGGAATGGCAAAGACACTATTTGTAATGCTTAAGGGAATAATCTTAAAGAGGTAATTGTTGAGAACCAGGGTTGAGTTACTGGGCTGGGGGGGGTCAGGGGAGATAGGGGGATGGCACTTACCCTCCTAGTGCAGTGCTGCTAAGAGGAGTTAGATGGTGAGCTGAAAGATGCAGGACTTGAAGGAAAGCGTCTGTATCCTCTGAGCCAGTAGCTGGATGAGCAGCAACAGCAGCAGTGGTGGGATAGTGCCGCCCCTGATAGGGCCAGGATGGCAGCATGTGACCTAGAGCCGACGATGAGTCAGGATTTCTAGGGAGCTTTGCAAACAGCACGTAGAGGATGGAGCAACTCGGGAAGGGAGGGGGAGATAGTGCTGCAGAAATGGGATGCCAAAAGCAACACGCTTTGCCTTGCTTCATCAGATTCGGTTTTTTTTAATTGAAATGCTTCAATCACAACTTATTGAAAGAACAGACAACCATCCACAAATGGTACCCACTATGGTTCTATCCAGGAACTATACAATACACTTCTGTTGCAACATGCCAAGATTAGTGCTAACTGGGTCAGAGCTGTACAACACAGGGAAGAAGACTCTGGAAGGCAGCTTATAGCTCTTACTCCTTTCCGTGGACTTACATATACTTGTCACTCAGTCGTTAAGTCTTCTTGAATGGTGTCTTCTGCTTCCTGAAAAATATGGGGAGAAAGAACAGGCTCAGAGTATTTCCAAATGAGGATCTTACTGTGGAATGGCAAAGCATCAGGCATACTCTAAGTATACAAGCTGCATCAGAAGCGAGTTATTCTCGATTACTATCATTATAATAGCCCAGACAGTAGATAGAAACAATATAATCTTCAGAGACACTCTCCTTGGCAAATTCTATTGGAAGTAGCAAGAGTATCAGCTCCTATTAATCTGGATATTCCACTTGAAGGAGGCATCCCCAGTGAATTATTTGCCTTTTATTTTTGTACAATTCTAGGGCATATTGTGGATTTTACAAAAAATAAACAATGAAGTACCTTTACGTTAAGCAGGTATGCTTTTACTCATCTATAAGTCAGGGGTGTGTATACTGTTGGAATAATGGAATAATCAAATTGTTTCCTACACATTTGTCTTAGCACAATTTCAAAGTTTTGTAAGATAGGGATAGTGTCCATATATAAGTGTATTTGATATTCAGTTATGCAGTCTGTGCTGAAGAATCTCCATGCACATGTTTTATTTTGAGCTACAGTTTATCACCTTTATTAATTATTTGTACTCAACCCACATCCTTGTATACTGGAGTATCTTCACTTAGTAAGATTCTCAATACCTCCTTTATAAATATTATATCCTTTGCTCAGTGTGGTTGCACCATAGTTTTATAAAATGATATTATCAGTTATTGGTTTTTTCAGCAATAATGTCTGTTTGCTTCCTCTGCTTTTTAAAAAAAATTACACCTGTAAATCTCCTGCTATATAGTATAGATAGCACCATCTCCTACTTCCTTTCATTCTGTTATGGAATGATTTATTCTGTTTCCCAAAGGCCCCTTTAGAGATAGTGACATTGTAGAACCACATTTTTATCCACACAACAACAGAATCTTTTGACTCCAGTATATTTGTAATTTCTTAAATTAGATATTATTTTTCTCTTCCTGTGCTCTGCCAACTTTGCATTTGTTTACAAATTTCCAAAGGATAGTCATAACAATATGCTGCAGAAAAATACAACATATGTTGTAGAATTTTAAAGACCACTGTAAACAATGTATTAAGAAATTAAGCTTTTATGGGCCAGATCCCCTTCATTAAATGTAGGTTTTCAATTAAAATAGATTTGTATTGCAACAAATTGATGCCATAATGGAATACTGTTAAGGATTAAGGATTAAGGTAATATAAAACGTATTATAGTTCACAAGAGCTATCCAGATGCACCATTCAAGACTAAACAACTACACAAAATGGTTTAACAACCTAGGCAAGGAATATTATTATTCAAATAGAATTCATCTCCTTCCTGTACTCATAACATATTCTCCCTGTGCCCCCTTTCAATTATGATCCATTTGTAGCACCACTGTAGACTTAAAAGAAAAATATCTAAGGCAATTGTAAGAAAAGACAAAAGGGCTTGGTCCTTTATACTTCGCATCCCTCTAATTAGAAAAAAACTAATTTTTCCTTGTCTCACTTCAAGCTCCTTCTCTCTCTCTCTTTCTTTCTGCAACTCCAACTCTTCTTCTTTTCGCCGTTGACGTATATCTGCAGCCTCATTGCGTTCTTCTTCCTCAAAGAAATCTTTATCGAGGCGCTCCAGGTGTGGGAGCAGGACCAGGGCTTCTAGACGGTATTCTGACTCATCAGAACAAGGATTCTCTAACAAGACCAGGGCTCGTAACATGGGCAGCACTTGCAACTTTTCCAATTCCTGTACTTGTGCAACTGCATTTCCCCTGCAGGAATGGGAAAGAGATATCTGCCTTACAAAATATTCCCCATTAGGAAAATAAAAATTTAAAAGAAAGCAATAGGTTCAAAAGGAAATGTGAAGAATAAATGGTGTATTTTTTTAAAAAAAGAAGTAAGAGGTTTTTTTAAATGTTTCCTTTGTGGGCCTCCTTGTACAATCATTTACTTTTAGAAGACATCTGGTGTCAGAATCTTCCCATTAAGCTATGGTCATAATAAGCTATTCTAGGCACAGAACAGACATTTAAATTTAACTATCATTAATAATAATAACAACAGCAACAGTAAAAACAACCACCATCTAGGACTGACTGGGATCAGTAGGAATTAATAATTATTGTGAACTGCAACTGTTTAAATTACAACTGTTTAAGTTACAACTGTTTAAATCACACTGTTCAGATAGATCAAATGTCTTAGAAACTTTAAAAGTCTGCTGGCTGCTACTGTTTATTTTCTATGAATCTAACATCGTTGTATCAAGGTATCTTATATCAGATCCTACTAGTAACCGGTAGTATTGTCTTCAATTACTGAATAATCATTGTACTGATATAATTACATTGAGAACAAGCTTTATATTGCCTCAGTAATGTTTGAGTGATGCTAGGAAGATTTTAGAAGTCATTAATGAGAACATACTGTTATTATGCTTTAAGATGCAAAATGAGAGTTACTGTAGTTGCAAGTAGACCTCTTGATTTTCAATGACCTTAACATTTCATTTTGAACAAAAAATGTCATGTATTATTATTTTTATAATTGCTATATGATTTAGATGCCTCTTCTGTGCCCTTGCCCCATTTCCTACCTTGTTTGGGGAGGGGGAATGAATGTGACTTACTGGTAAACTTACAGTAAATCCATTGTCCCCACTTCATATCCAAAACTTTAATCACAACTATGTAAGGTTGTCCCTGTTGCTGTGATCTAATGCAACCAATGTTATAGGAGTAATGTTCTACTACATTTTTAAAAAAACTAATGATTGATATTTGTTGGGAAGACATGGTTTAAACATAACTTCTCATATTATTTTCTCTTAATTTCCAAGGTGACTTTGATATTCTATACAGAAGCCCACACACCGTAAATTGATGTACTGAAGAGATTTCATGTTGCTTGAGAAGCCTTCCAACACTTCAATTAGATTGTCACGCAGGTGTAGAGTTGTGAGTTGCTCCAGATTTTCTAAGTCCTCTAGATGACTAATAGCATTCTGAGCCTAAAAAAGAAGATATTGTAGAGAACAGAATATCAGAGCTGAATAAGAGTATATTCACCCAATAATGAGGAATAAGAGATTTTATAAACCAGTCATGTGTTTGCAATTAATTAATTTTAGGGATATCGTTTTCCAAGCCTCATCTGGGCTTTACAATGGTAGGGGGAAATTGAGGGATAGACGGATTGCCTGCATTCCATCTAAACTCTATAGATTCTATGGCTTTAGAATCAAATCAGCATTTGCCTCTCACCTATAAATCTTTTTGTTACATTTTGCCTGATTAGGAGATCTGAATATCTTGACAGTTTGATTTTTGTGATCTCAAGTGTAATAAAGATATTGCCTAAGATGAATAAATATGCAAGAGCACAATCACATTCTTGGCACATGATATGTCATGAAATTGAATCATCACTAATGTTCCCTCCCCTCTATATTCCCCAGTGATCAATTTTAACACTGGCATTTTGTTGTTATTGTTAATTTCATGATTATGCTGTTTCTTTCTTCAAGGAGCCCAGCATGATTTCTGTCTTCCCACTCTTTTTTTAACCTCAGTATAACACTGTTAGACTGCCGAGAATGTGGCTGCTTCATTCAGTGGGCTTTATGGGAACTAGAATGGGAATCTGAACCCAGATCTGTGGAGTTCTTTGTAAAATCATTACACTGCACCAACAGAAATTGGAGTCAAGCTTGGAAAATTGTGAGCTAACGTTGGATGGTAATTCTGTATTTTAATGATTGAAATCATATCCACTTTGAAATACAAAAGATCAGACTATGCAATTAACACATCTTCTGTTTAACCCTGCCACAATCAGGCTTAAACTGTGTTTTTGAAGCTGCTATATATATTCCAAAGGAAAATCCCTTGGAGATGGGGCTACCCTTGAAGCAACAGCGACTTGGAAAAATGGATTTTAACAAAGCAAAAAAGAGAAGATTTCCATTTGCACCCCCTACCTTTCACATCATCAAGCTTCCCCGGGCTTCTCTGTAGACTATATAACTATACAACTCTGTAGTATAATTATGTACAGTTACCATGTCTAGTTTCATATATAGTGAAAAGGGTTTTAAGGACAAGTTCCCTTACCAGGTACAGGTTTTTGAGCTTAGGCAAGTAGATTCCAGCTGTAGACTTTAGACTGTTTCCTCGTAACTCTACTGTGTGCAGATTTGACAGGATATTTGGATTCAGTCCTGATAGTACCTCAATCGTGTTGCCTGGATAGGAGAACGATAGGCAGTGATAAGAGAATTAATTGTCTAGGATTCCTTTTCTGCAAAACATATAGGGAGACGTTTCCCTCTAGGTTCAGAGGAATCCTTGAGTATATACCCACTCACCTCTCAGGTTTAGGCTGACCAAACGTGGATGGCAAATGCCATCACAGTCCTTGATGTGGTTGTTGGCAAAGCTTGCAATCTGCAAGTAGGGCAACTCTTCTATGCTGGCACTGATTAACCGATTATTATCCACTTTCAGCCACAGCAAATGTCTGAGAAATGCCAATGGAGAGAGATCACGGAGCAAGTTGTCTGACAAGTCTACATACCGTAGATGGATGAAATTATGGATGAATGTGACATCTGTCAGTTCCCTGTCACAAAATGAGGAAAAGTACATTATTCCCCAATTATCAGCTTTCTCGTGCCTTCCCTAAACGTATCTATTCCATCAGGAAGTGGAATAACAGCCCGTGGCAAGGAGACAAAACTCTTAGAAAAATGGAATCAGGTGGTGAGTTACCATTATATCTGTGCACTTACTTTTCTCTGACTTCTAATTTCACAAAGGCGTGAGCAAGACCATTGCCAGTTTTACATAAAAGTGAGAGGCCTTCCTTCACCATCTCCTCATTGAGAGAGGTTGAAACCTGGGGCTGTTGGGGGGGAAAAGCACAGTCAAGAAAAGATACAAGGCAACATTATCAAGTCACAGCAATCCTTTTGTATCTGAAGAGTGAATGATGAGACAATGGTTATTTTTTTGTCTCACACATTTCCTTCTACACTTTGCATGCCTTCCTTTGCATGCATGTGATTGATGTCTTCTTCACTACAGCGGACAAGCTGGGGAATGGGGGGGGGGAGAGAGAGATAAAAAAAAATTGAGGGTAGAGATGAGTGAACTAAACCATGGGTTGTAAGCTGACAATTTTATTTAAAATCAGTATCCATTATCTCACTCAGAGATGTTCTGAGACCTGTACACATACATTTACTTTATTTCTAAAAAGGTCAGACTTGTTCACTGTTTCTTCTTTTTTGACAGGAATGTCTTATTTTATACATTTTTAAAACAGAAGCTCCTTTAGAAAGGGAACTTGTGGGTATTCTTTTGCAAAGAGCATCCTACATAGGCTATGTTAAGAACTACATTAAGTTTTTTTTAATTGCATTGATTTTGATGGGTAGAGAAAGCATTTTCCAGTTTTAATGTAATTTCAACAAATTGCTTACTGCCTGGGTTGAGGTACTGTATAAATTCCATGAATGAATAAAGGAATTATATTTTATATATATCTGAAAAAATACAGTGAATATTAACGTGTTTTACCTCTTCCTCTTCTACATCCCCTTCGCCTTCACCTTCGCCTTCCACCTCCACCTCCCTTTCTTCTTTCTTTTCTTCAACTTCTTCTTCAGTATCATTTTCATCATCAGGTTCCTCATCTGACATTTTCCAAAGTTAATGCTTTCAGGCTATAAAATAACGAAGATTGTAAGTGAATTCTAGCAAAGTGGCCAGAAACTTATTTCAATTGAATATAAACAAACTTGGTGTTGGTATTGGTGAGAAGGGCAAAATGTTCCCATTTCAGGATACCATTACAGGAGGAGGGAGGGAGATGCTTTTAGGAAACGTCCTATATTTCAGCGGGTCTTTTTGCATAATGTCCTTTTGAAGATCTTTTAAAACATCTTCCAGGCAGAGAGACTTCCAGTTTTGCATCATAGCATCACGACTGGGGGATTGAGGAGCTCCACACCTCATGGCTGGTTTCGCCCTGCCAGGAAATCCTAAATGGGTCTAAAGTCGTCCCAGAGAGATGATGAAGAAGAAGAGCCCCCCCTGTTGATCATGGAACGATGGCAATCAATCCGTTTGATCTGGGGGAAGCCCTCCAACCCGACAGGAGAAAGGCTAGCTGCATTCCAGTAACTAGCCCAAGCTACTGGCATCCTAAGTCCAAAAGCACCAGCTAAGAACAACTGTGAACAGTGTGTTGGAGCTGGGTGAAAAAATCGATCTTCTCTTCTCTATTTGAAACTAATTTCCTGGAAAAGATCCCCAAGAAGCAAAAAATCCTCCAACAGTGAGAAGGAAGGGGATTAAAATCCCACCCTTCCATAGACAGAAGTGGCGATTTAATTTTTAGGGGGGGGGGCAGAAATACATTGAAATGGACTAATATAAAGATATAATTTGGATAAAACTGAAAACTATGGAAATTGTTAAGACTTTCTATTTAAAAGAATATTGATGAAACTATAAAAAAATAACCTTTTTGTTTTAAAAGTTGGAAAATAAACAGCTACTGACATCTAGTGGTGGAACAGAGTATAGAATTACGGTTGCTTGCCTCAGAAAATGGCAAGATACCCAGAAACAGAGTACAATCTAGCCCTTTGATCCTCAATGATTCTTAGCTAAACAGAGAACAGCTGGGAAAAGAGGAAAGAAAACATACTGAGCTATCTATTATAGAATAACAAATATAATTGTTATGAAAACTGTTGATCTTTCTGGATTATAAATACCTACTGAGCTGTGATATTGAAGTTTAAGAATTGTCTGCAAAGAAACAAAAACTTTGACTTTTGGGATATTCTTCTAGGAGGAAAACATTTTGGACTGTTTATAAAGATAAGAGACATATAAGACTATAGTGTTTGGAATTTAAGACTGGTTGGTTTGATGAAAATGGAGATTACATATACAATGAAAAGTAGTAAGAAACCACACGCAGTATTCTTCTCTAAAATCCCCATTCTGGAACATCAGAGATCTGCAGGAATAACATTTCAAGACAAGACAAATATTTTTCAGGAGGAAATGTATGCTATGTTGCAACTAATTCAAATGACAATTGTTTCAAATCATAATGAGATTAAAAATAATTTTGATGATTTAAATGAGCACATCCTTAAAAAATTCTCAGAAAATGGTGACAAAGAATGAACAAATAAATCAGATAATAGAACAAAAACTAGAGGAAAGTGATCCAAAGATGGAGGCTACAAGTGAAGAAAATTACAGCTTAACACAAACAAAGAAAAATTTGCAAGATTTTGCTATAACATTCAAAATGGAAAAGGCATTTTATTTTTCAGAACTTCAAAACAAACCTGAAGATAAGAAAGAAGATTTGATAAAATGGACAACAGAGCTCTTACTTAGGAGAATCACTAGGGTATGGGAGACAAAAAATGGAAAGAGAAACCGAGGGAGAAGAAAAGTGGAAGCTTCTTAACAAATATAAATGGGAGAAACTCCCCCTCAAAAGCATCTTACCTAATTTATCTTTCCCATTCTTAACAATACTTATAAAAATACAGGAAGAATCCTATGGCAAACTGAATACACTGACTTGGAAAGCTGTTTGGCAAAAGAAAAAGGCAAGAGCCAAACTCAAAAGAGATGATTTGACCTACCAGGTGGAGTACTACGTGACTGTTTGAACATGGTTCAAAGAATAGTTAAATTTTGGATATGAGTGGGCTCTATAGTAAGAGAGGTATGATTTATAAGCAGTATACTATATCTTTATGATATGGGAAATGTAAAAATAATGGGATGATCTAAATCAATGAAATGTTTTGGATGTTTAAATGTAATCAACTTGGAGAAAATTATAATTGATAAGTAATGTTTTGAATACTGAAAGGAAACTAAGCTTAAATAAGAACAGGCCAGAACCAAATTTAAGAGAGATGATCGGACATATCAGATGGAAATACCATATGACCAAACATTTGTCTGAATATGGTTAAAAGAATAGTCAAATTTTGGATATGAAGGGGCTTTATAGTAAGAAAGATGTGATTTATAAGTAGTATAGTATTTTTTATGATATGGGAAATGTAAAAATATTGGGATGATTTAAATTTATGAAATATTTTGGCTATTTAAATGTAATCAATTTTAAGAAAACTATAACTGACAAGAAATGTCTTGAACACTGAGGGGAAACTAAGCTTAAATAAAAGTTCTGAAAACAGGACTTATAGCGATTTACACAAGATGTTTTTTTTTGCAAATGTAAATGTAAAATAAGCTGATTAGAAAAGACATTACATATTGATGTTATTGTTAAATATTAGAAAAATATTTATATTCAGATTCGTATGTATTGATAGTACTAAGAACTATATTTGCTCAATGTTGGTAAAACGAGAACACTATTGGAAGAAGAGAGGACTAAGGAAAGGTATTTTTAGTTAGCATCCTAATTATGAAAACATAGAAATTAACTATTATTGACTGTTGTTAAATATATGAATCAGACAACACATTGTTTACTAAGTACTAAAGATTGTTATTTAAAAAAATAAAATAAAATTTTTAAAAATAAAATAAAACATCTTCTAGGCAGCTGTCATGTGGACTAGAATCTTATCTTGGCCAACAGCCTCAGAAATCTATTGGAGCGCAACAAGAGGGTTGAAGTGACAATTTTGAGGCCAACTAGGACACACGGTAGGAAGGCAGATATATAAATAATGAAACAAGGACTTCATGGGCATGTTTCAAATAGTCCTACAGCAAAAGAGAAACTGAAGCCCTTGCACCTATCTGCTCCCCGTAAAAGGAGAAAACCGACAGATGCATTTTATTACATACCGTGGACAGATGTTGCACCGGTTGATTTTCTATTACTGTTGCCCACCTGTGCTTTTAGCGTCCCTATTCTCGTGAAAACCAAGGCAACCACCCCTAGCCCTTTAGCTCCACCTTCTGCCCAATTCACGTTCCTTCAACTCTTCAAGAAGCGGTTACCTAAATAGTTACTACTATCCACTCCCAGTTGCTGACCCGGTGCAAGACTTAGCCGCTAAATGTGGATTACTTGGTTGCTAGGGCAACTCCGGAGGAGGCGGGCTCTGTCATCGCGGACGCCTTTACTTCTTCGGCAGCCGCCAAATGACTGCCAGGTTTTTCCACCCCGCGAAGGCGGCTGCAGGCGAAGGCTGGCTGGAAGAAAGCTCGGGAGAAGCGGATTGGATAAGAGCCGCGATATTTGCATAAAGCGTCCTAGGGGAACCTCTGAAGCTGCGTGTCTCAAGCTTGGCGTTTGGGGAATTCTGAGGATTGAAAACCATAAAAGTTGCTAAGCTGACTCCAAAGAGTCAGAAGAAGCAAAGCAGAGCCGGGCCGACAGTAAGTGATGGCATGCAAAAGAGAAATCGCAGGATTTCTACGCTGTCACTTTGGACATAAGAGACAGGGCAGTCATTTGTCTGAAATGGTGTCTCCTGCTCTAGCAGGAAGTTGGATTAGAAGACCTCCAAAGTCCCTTTCAACTCTTGTTATTTTTTGTTCTATGTTCTTTCTTCATTCAGGGTACAGTACAATAGGGTTTTTTCCCATGTACAATACTTATTTCTGTATCACTGTTATGTACCACCTTTTGCCAAATGTATTCAATAATGTTAACATTTCTTATGAATGCTGTCACTATTTATTCTGCCGGTCTTTCAACCCCCTGCACCTTCCCTATTTTATTTCCCTCCGATTTCTGTAACTTCTTGGTTGCCTGGCTAACTAGCTTATAGATGTATGACAAATAAGGTTCATGAGGATCCATTGCATCTCCCTCATCAATGAAGGCTTATGTAATAACAAATTGGGGCTCTGTTAGAGAACATACTAAACTGTAGTGACTGATTCATCCACGCTGCCACGGTTTACACTACAGGCTGAACCAGCATAGCAGATCAATTGAACAAGGCAGAGTAATAGCACTCCAAGTTGCTTTTACCGCAGCATGGACTTTTTGTCAGGCTTTTAACTCATTTTATATTGCTTTTAATGAATGCTGCTAAACGTTTTTATTCTGCATTTATTTTAATGCAGAATACCACCTGGAATACTCAGATGACTCAAGTAAATAACCTCATTAGATTAATCTAAGTGCCCTGTATAAGGAGTAAATTAAATAAAGAGCACTTAATTAGATACAGAAGGTTGGGTGAGGAAGGAGGCTGTATGTCCTATGAATGTATAATACACATGTTGGGCTACAAATCATCAGTTATTGGTTCTTGATTTCAGCTTGCAGAGGATTTGGTGCCGCACAGAGCATAGTGCCCTCAGTTTGACTGAAGCAGCACTTCCTGGTCAATCTCTACTTCAACTCAATTGCTAATTAAATTGCAAGCGATTGGGGAACTATGTCCCCAAACATTTGCTTTGCTCCTCCTACAGCAGCCAAAGGCCAAGTGAGTGAATGCTGACAGTGATATCACTGAAATGGGCAGTTGAAGAATTGTGACTTAATTACATTCATTTGGACCAGGCAGGTTGGACCTTCCTAATAGAAACATGCTTTTCTGGCAAAGAAAAGTTTGCTATTTCTTGGTTAACTACCATTAAAAACAAGAAGTATGATTTCTGGGGAGAGTGGATAGACTGAAGACTGAAAATACTAGTATGGTGATGGCAGATGGCATCAAAGATTGTGGTGTCTGCTTCTACATTTTGGGGACTCCTCCATTCAAATATCATAGGGTGTCTCTCCCCTGCCCTTTTAACATGAAAATAGATTTTGCTGAGTGCCCCAGGTATGTCAATGAAGTGACACAAGACATAAAATGTAGTAGAGTTACATCTACACAACAGCTAACTGCACTCTTTTGAGAAACCCAATACACTTGTGTAGCAGATACATTTGCACACATGGGTAAAAATTCTTCCTAAAAGCTAAATACAGTACATATAGCTCAAAGGAGGTAAAATGCTGGGCACTATCAGGTGTAACTCCAGAGGGCTGAATAGGCATTTTATCCAATGTTTGGGACCTACTATATAGAAACTCAGTGAAATGAAGACTCATTTCCAAGACTTAAAAGGAATGTGTGGCAAGGTTAGAGAGCAAAAAGAATCTGCTGGAAATCTTTTGTGCATGGATTCCCAAGGAGAGAACACATAAGTGAGTTTCTTGTGTGCAAAAAATGGTTTAAAATGTGGTTTAAAATAGATCGAATGTTTTTATGTACATTGTAAACACAACTAATAAATCAGGGCAAGCAGTCTTTTTGGAAAATTGGAGAACTGTTGTAAATTTATATACAAAATATATGAATATTTGCCTGTTCACATAATAGCTATGGCTGTGAACACCCACAAAATAGTTTGTTATTAGAAGACCAATGGATAAGATCTTCAAAAAGACAGTGTAGAAATTTAATGAGATTTGTTAAGGATCGTTTTGGACCATTTCCAAGACACACATTAGGTGTATCGAAGGAACATCAAAAGAAAGTGGGAAACAAAAAGTCTGCTCTATAAAGCCACATAGAATGTTTTGAGATTACTTGCTACCCATTATGCAGGGTGTGAGCTCATTATTTAGTCCTGAGGGATTATCAACATTTAATCAGTTCAGTTACACATTAAGGTTCTTAACACTGGAGAGGCATTCTGGACAGGCCCACTGTAATTAGGATAGCATTGGATTTTAACAATAAGTCTGAACTCACTTATTACATCAGAATGTAGTTGGCTTGTTTCTGGTTTATGATATTGTAGTAGCTTATACTACAATTTGCACGTGTTTTATTAGTATCTTGTGTAAGCCCATCAAATTGTTGATGGGTTTCTTCTTTGGAGAATAATTTCACTTTTAAAAGTATTTATAAAAGTTTTTGTTCTTACCAGTTACTATACACAAGACACTAGATTTATTTCAGTGTTAATGAATTCCAGTAAATTAAAAAAAATTGAAAATTATCTCCTCCTTGGCAGAAGCTAGGATCCTGAACAATCTCTTTTGTCAAGACTTTTGTATCTCATCTCAGTATGTTCTTTGTCCCCTCCCAACTGAGCATGTGCTCAGTTGGGAAACAGTCAAATCCAGTTTTTATGAACTTTGCCCTTGTTCTTGATGGCCACTATCTAATTTTATCAGATGCCCATGGTCACATGTCCTCATCTGCACATGCTACCATTATAAGACATAGGATTGATCAAACTAAACTTTTGCTGACATATGACAATAATTTCTTCCCTCTAACTGGATTAAAAGTTATGCAATCTGCATAATCTGCTATTTATGAAATAACTTATCGGTTTAATATTCAACCTTGGGGTTTCTAGAAACCACACCATTCCCTTGTGTATGAACATATTAAGAAATCAGGCTATAACTATTTTTGATGTGCTGTAGCAAAGCCACAAAGTTTTTGCTCTATTTCTTTCTGTGATGTAATTGTTAATTAATTGAGATCATCTTTGGCCCAGAAAAATGCTATTTACCTGATTTATAATTCCAGAATATTTATATAGTCACTGTGGGAAGAATTCAGAGAAAGAAATATTTTGGGAAATATTAAAAAGGCAGAATATATTCCCCAAAGGAATAATGGAGATCATCTTTAAAAAAAAAGACAGAAACCAGCTTCCAGAAATCAGCCCAGTCCCTAGGCAGAAGCCAGCTTTTAGAAATGCAAATTCAATAATCCTTTCAGAAAGGTTGGAGCCTTCCAGCTAGAAACTGAAGAAATTAGGACCCTTAAAATCTACATACCCCACCCAAACTCTAAGACAGGACATAATAGGATTAACCCAATACCAAAAGGGCACACTCAGACTCAGGTCAAAGTAGGGTACATGACACAGGAAATACAAAGCCTCAAACAAGAACAGAAAACAACCTCAAAAGCCCCAGAAGGTATAAAAGCCCACCACTGCTCCATGTGGTCAATTGTATTTTCCAGCACCATCTTTCTGTCTGGCTCTCCTCTTCAATAAACTACAACAGGTATGTCAAACTCCCAACGTTGTGTGACGTATCGCGACTTTCCCATTGCCGGCAATGGGGTGGGCGCAGTTTCAGCGTGACACATCCGGCCCGTGCTAGCAGTTTGACATGCCCGAACTAAAACCTTTCTAAAGCATTCTCCATGTTGTTTATTCCCGGTTAGGATTGGATCCTGATGAAGATTTTTTTCAACATCACATTCATCTGGTTAACTTCTATGCAGTGTGTAGATCAGTGGCTCCCAACTCTTTCTATACCCTGCACCCTTAGAATGCTTCTGATATATTCTTGCACCCCTTATAAAAGTTCAAAATAACAGCAACGAATTATGCATAAATACTATAATTTTGAAAACCCGTTTTCGTACCCCCCTGGAATATCCTCTCCCACCCCCAGGGGGAACCCTGGTGTAGATAAAAAGCCTAATTCAAACACCTGCCTTATTCATGTATATGATTTTTGATCTAGTAAGTGCTATGGTTATAAATAGGTTTTTGAATACCCAGTTAGAGATTACTTCTTCCACTTAGTCCAGCAGTTCTCAACCTATGGGTTGCGACCCCATTTGGGGTCGATCGACCATTTCACGGGGGTCGCCAAGCAAGGCTGTCTGCCATTTTTTCCCTTTTCCGGCGGGTGCCTTACCTCCCTTGAGCTGGGCCAGCTGGTGGTCAGCCTGCTCCGTCTCTGCCGCTTGCCAGCTACGCCTCGGCTGGCGCAGGGGGCGGAACCACACATGCGCGGCGATCCCGGGCAGGGAAAGTCCTCGACTTACGACCGGTTGGGTAGTCCTCGACTTACGACCGGTTGGGGGTCGCGGCATTAAAAAGGTTGAGAACCATTGACTTAGTCCTCTTTACATATACTGGAATCTCATATATGCAAATTCTATTGATCTCAGTGGGGTTTAATTACTGGGTGTACAGATTCAAGTTTAACCTCTTAATTTTTATGTCAACTTAAAAAACAAACATACAGCAGGCTGAATCCTTTTGA